TTTAGGGTTTAGGGTTTCTGAGTTTCAGAACCGAACACCTGGACTCCAGGACCTGACGAAAGGCACAGCAGGTGCTCCGACTTCTCCGTCGAGGACCGCGGAGCACTGCTGAGAATGCAGACCTTGATACCTTCAAAGCAGTCGGGTTTAGGGTTTAGGAGTCGCCATTGCTGCTGTCCGGCTGTTGTTGGCAGGGCGGGAAACAACGACGACGAGCAGGCTCTGCGAGAACGTGGCAGCCAGGCGCAAGCAGATTGGGAACCTCTCGCACACTTTCGGGCTCTTCAAGACATGTCTAGTAGTGAGTCTGATATGTCAGTATGATTACAACTTATATAGTATACCCCAGAACACTGTTCCAATCATGCAGGCCCCTGTTTTAAACCCAGTATCGGACCCTTTAGAGGAATCCTGCTCTAGTTATCAAGTCCGCCATATTGCCACCAGAAACGCCGGCACTTGGCCTCTCAGTAGCCAGATCTGACATCGGAGGTCTCCACGAAGTTGATGCGTGTGGTGGACCAGCGCGGAACCGAGTTTAGGGTTTAGGGGCTTTGTGTTTAGGGTTTTAGGGTTTAGAGGTTTAGGGCTTAGGAGTATACAACTGGCTTTCAGGCTCACCTTATGCCAGCTTGTGCTCATCTAATACGCTTGAGGACTATGCCCTGAACCTCTATGGTTCCGAAGTCGTAGCAGTCGGAGTGTGGTCGTAATGTAGGCACAGCCACAGCAGTAGAAGCATTCGTAGCAGTAGTACCAGTACTACTGACTGGTAGTAGTTGCCGGAGTAGTAGTAGCAGTAGTAGTAGTAGTAGTAGTAGTAGGAGTAGGAGTAGGAGTAGGAGTAGGAGTACGAGTACGAGTACGAGTTGCCTGCAATAACCAATACAATGACAATGTTCATAGGCATAGCACGTTTACTAATGCTTGGTCAGAATAATGACGCTAGTCATCGTGGTCCTCATACTACTAAGCCGAATAGGAACGCAAATGGCAGGAACAAGACTACGGATCTTAATCAGAACGGTCATCATTCATCATCGTACAAGTCTTCCTATTCGTCCCCACCGCCATTACGACACGCCGCAGGTGGATGCGGCAGAGGGATCTGCAGCAAGCACTCCTTAGAGGGGCATCCATCAATGACACTGCCTTTGCCACTTTGGTGCAGGCGAGCTGCACACAATCATGGATATATATATATATATATGAGAGAG